AAAGGCATGCGTACACAGGCATGCCGCCCGCTCGCCGCCCACCCGCTGCTATAAAAGCCGCCCCTCCCTCGCTGGTGGCCGCACACAGTCCTCTCCCCCTCGCCGAAGACGACCCTCTCGCCCTCTTGCCGTTGATACCCCCTCTCTCCTAGCCGATGCCACTCCTCCGACGAACATGGCCGAGCGCTACCCGGCGACGGAGCAGCGGCCAATGGCTTCGGCCGCCGCCACCTGCGCGAGGACGAGACCCGCCTCCTCTACGAGGCAGACTACTCGGCCCCGCCGGATATGCAGGTGCCGGGCTACTGGAGGCTCAGCGTCAGCGGCGTCCTGGTGCCTCCAGCGCCCACCGGCACTGATCGGCGCGCCGAGATCGCGCCCATTCGGTCGTCACTGCCGAAGCAGGCGCGGAACCAACCAAGGTACACCCCCGATAGCAACATGTTGTGGACGGCATACGTCGACCGCCGCCACGAGGAGCAGCTCGCCTCCACCAACAACATCGAGCCCTGCGGTCGCCTCAACTCAGAGGGGCGGCGCCAATGGTGGCGCGTCCTCGGGCGCACCCTCAAAGCCGTCCTCGAGCACATCAATGCCGGCAACACGCCGCGCTTGGAGTACCCGGCGCCCCTCTCCTTCTCTCGCCGCCGCGGCGAATGGAGACAACATCCTCCTCCTCGTCGGGCTCCCTTTCCTCCGGATCGCCAATGCTCCACCCCGTCAAGTAGGAGCCACAGGAGACGCCGCTCGGGCGGCGCACCCGCGGCGGGGCCCTCGTCATCAACGAGGGCGGCCATGGCCCTCTCCTCCCTCTTCCCGCCTCGTCAGGCCGAAGACCGAGCTGGGGCTCCTCGTCATGAAGAAGGAGCACGAGGCCATGGCCGCTGATGAGGAGACCGGCCTGAATTGTGCGCTGGACGACTAGTCCGGCAAGAGATGGAGCGCCAGCATCGCACCCTCGAGGAGATAGCCTCCCGGCGCCGCAGCCGCGAGGAGGGTGGCATCGTCATCCTCGACGACAGCGACGAAGAGGCGCCCTGGCCGTCCATCCCCCCCCCCACGAATCGGCGACGCTGGCCAGGGGTGCACCAAGGACGACGGCGACGACGGTGGCGGCGACTACACCAGCTTCTACATGCTGCTCGGCATGTAGAAGGCGGGCGGGCGGCGACTAGTAGTAGTAGTTTGCTTTTAAATTTATGTTTTCAATTTGTACAAATATCAATGAAACGCCTAAATTTCCTTGAAATTTGTGTCATGTTTGGCGAATTTTGGCTGAGTTTGGTTTTTCAAAAATGACGTTTGGGGCGAGCTTGGGGTGACCGCCACCACGCCGATTTTTCCGTCCGCCAGCGCCCCCGGGCATTGCTATTTCAAGCCCCTAGGGGTCTGAACGGCCGAATATGCTCTTAGAGCAACTCCAATGGGGCGACCCATTTCGTCCGCTCGCGTCCGTTTGGGTCGGCGCGGACAAAAGTGGCGGTCCAATGCGCCGACCCAAACTCAAATCGTGTCCGCCTGGCGTCCGTGCCGACCCATTTCCGATCCAAAATTGCGCCTAGAATGCGTCGGTGCGGATGCGCCACGCGTCTCCTCGCCGTCCGCCGCGTCCCCACCTGGCGGCCACCCAACCGCCACCGGTCGTCTTATTTATGACGACCACTGACATCGGGCCCATGCATCAGCCAGTGGAAGTGTCCTTTTTTAACCACGCGTGCAGCGGGGTCGGCCTCATCCACTTCTCCCGTCCACATCTGCCCTCCCACCACTCCCTTTGCTTCCTCGCTGGCGACCGCAAAGCCTAGCCATGGGCCTCTTCGGCGGCAGCAATGGCAAGGGCAAGGGCACCCCCGGCGCCTCGTCCTCCCGTGCTCCCCTTCCCCCTCCTCCACCTCCAGCGGCGACAAATTTCCGCCCTGGTCGCCGGCACCTGCACATCCCGGCGCACCAAGCGCGGTGGCACTGGGAGTACAGGCAGCCATTGTTGTACCCCGATGTGACGCTGCCGCACTGTTGGCATCTGGATTCGCAGTGGATCCCGGTGTCGGCGGTTCCTCGTACCCAACGGGCGCACGGCGACGAGGTGCGCAGGCGCCGCGCGCAGCTCATGCCGGAGCAGCGTCGGCTGCCAGAGTACGCCGCCGACTCCCCCAACTGGGAGGCATGGTTCGCCCTCGAACACGAGGAGCAACGGCGCTCGGGTGTCGACGCCGTCCCGCCGCCGTTCCCACCGCCGCCCCTGCAGGTAGAGCCGGGGGACATGGAGGCGGAGTACCAAGCCGCCCTCGAGGAGGCCCTGCAGCACGTGTTGGAGGCTAGCCGCCTCGAGGAGGACGCACACTGGGATGGGCTGGACCAAGCCCTTGCCCTGTCGGCAGTGGGGGACTCTGTCCACACCCCGCTCTTCGTGCCGCCACCTCCCGTCCATCCCAAGCCGGAGCCGGAGCCGGCGCGTAAGCGCTCCCCGCCTTCACCCACTTGGCTGGAGGAGGCCTACTCGTGGATGGGTCCGTACCGCGAGTGGGTGAGCGCGCCTCCCGTCCACTTCGCCGTGACGCCGGAGGAGGAGGCGGCCCACCTCGAGCGATGGAAGGAGCACTGGCTCCGCCAGGAGCAAGCCGACAGCGAGGAGCAGATGCGCTACGACGCCATGCTCCAACGCGACGCGGAGGCGCTCCGGCTCGAGGAGGAGGAGGAGCGCGCGCGGCTTGCCGCAATGCCGCCGCCCCAGCAGACGCCGGAGGAGGCTGCCCTGGCAGTGTACCAGGCGGCGTTTGGGTGGGCTGGCCCTGCTCCGGTCTTCATCGACCTCACCGACGACGGCGGCGTCGACGGCAAGGGCAAGAGCAAAGGCCGACGACGTCTAGGGCAGCGTGTCGGGTGGCAGTAGGCGGGCGCAGACTTTATTTAATGTTTATTAGATTTAGGTGGACTTTGGCCGGCGTTTGACCGGCCGCTTTATGTTTAATTATGTTTATTTCGTGCAACTTATTTTTTTTCACGACGGTACATTTGGGTCGGCCTTCCCGTTGGGTGGTCAATCTGACCCATTTTAAAATGCAGACGCGCACGTCCGCTTGGCCGACCCAAACGGACAAAAAGGCGCGCGTCCGTTTGGGTTGCCCCATTGGAGTTGCTCTTAGGGTATGTACAATGCATAGCCTCAAGGTGATGTCTCGCATGCCATGTAGGATCGGATATGAAGTAAAGTAGGTTCGGATAGGGAAGCGGGATCCTCTCTAGGAGGCGGGTGCTTGAAGAAAAAAAGTGTGGTCCGGTGACAAAAGCTGAAAAGGTTGGAATGAAAAGTAGAGATGCATGTATACTAAAGTCTTTATTTTCTATTTCTTAATGAGGCCCACTAGTGGTAACTTGCATTGAGGAGAAAAAATAAATATAAACGCCTCAAATTACTTTTTGTCATGGGGCATATGTATCCATATGCCACCATTATACATGCCCCTTATGTTGCCACGCACACAATAAAGCAAATAGTAGAAGGGAGGAGGAGGGATGGAGGGAGAAGAAAGCAAAGCGACGGCCCACCGGGTCCCCAACGGAAGGAAGCGGTGAGGTGAATCGACCTGGCAGGTGGGGCTTGCGAGCAGGGTGGCACTTTCACCGTTAGAGCGCGCTCCCTCCTCCCTCCGCGCCTCCACATTTCGAAACCCGAATCCCAAAACCCTCGTCCGCCGCTCCACCCACTCCGGCAGCGGCCGCCACCCGTCACGATGAATCACGGGGACCCTGGACACCGCTGTAAGTGTTCCCATGGACCGCGGTGTGCCGGTGCGCCGCCCCAGGAAGGCCTCGCGGCGGCGGCCCTGGACACCCGTGTGCGGCCCCTCCCCATGGGCGCCGAGGCGGAGTCCATGCCGCGGCAGATCGGCGCGTACACGCCCAACCTCGACGCGCACACGGTGACCCTCCTCTCCTGCGTCCACTCCGTCCTCCCTCCTCCGCCCCTCGTCTCCAACCACGCCGACCTCTCCGCCCTCCTCGCCCCGCCCCAGGACGGCGGCGACGACCGCATCAGCGACCTCCCCGACAAGCTCCTCCGCGACATCGTCTCCCGCCTCCCCGTCAAGGACGGCGCGCGCACCGCCGCGCTCTCCTGCCGCTGGCGCGGCGTCTGGCGCTCCGTGCCTCTCGTCCTCGTCGACTCCGACCTCCTCCCCGTCCGAACCGGCTCGAGCCTGCAGGTCGCGCACGCGGACGCGCAGCGCGTCGCCTCCGCCGTCACCCGCATCCTCGACGCTCACCCGGGCCCCTTCCGCTGCGTTCACCTCATCTGCACCTTCCTGGACAAGTGCCCGGACCTGCTCGCGCGCTGGCTCCAGCTCCTCGCCGTCAAGGGCGTCCAGGAACTCGTCCTCGTCAATCGCCCGTGGCCGCTCAACACGCGCATCCTTCCCACCTTCTTCGCCATGGCAACCCTCACCCGCCTGTACCTTGGCGTCTTCGAGTTCCCTGACACGAGGATCCTCCCGCGCGCCGCGTCATTCCCACACCTCCGCGAACTCGGCCTCTGCTGCGTGCAGATCCTGAGGAGGGAGGACATGGACTTCATCCTCGCCAGGAGCCCTGTGCTGGAAATCCTATGCATCCAAGTGAACATGCTGATGAAACACCTACTCCTCGTCAGCCGCAGCCTCCGTTGCGTGCAGGTCATCGAAAGCATTGATCTGAGCATCGCAGTGAAAGACGCCCCGCATCTCGAGAGGCTCATCATCTGGGCGTGCCCCTGCACTAAGCTTGCTTGGCTATCTGGACCCGGAACGGCACAGCCTAGAGATCGGCAACACCGTCATCAAGGTGAATACAACACCTTCAACTTTGTGTGTTTGTTCGATTCGCCAATGTAAATGTGTGAAGTTGTCTCTGAAAAATGGAAGTATTATGCATTGCAGGCTGGGACAACGGCGAGTCCGAGCACAATCGTCCCAAGCGTCAAGATCCTCGGCATAAGAGTGTGCTTCGGAGTCCGCAACGTTGCTAAGATGCTGCCCAGCTTCCTCAGATGCTTTCCCAACGTCGAGAGGCTGCATCTTGAGGTGACACTACTATCACTTACTTTGGCATCAATTTCAATCTTTGTGCACTTGCAATCATCAATTTATATTGCTGACAATAATGCTTCCATCCAGAGCCAAAGTTGTACTGTAGCTTTTCTTTGCAGAAATGATAAATCCCAAATCAGGGATTTTCCCATGGCAAATCAAACGTTTTTTATGGCAACTTTAGTTGACACGAGGATGGCAAGTTTAGTTGACAAGCACAAAAAATTTCTGGCAAAAAACAAATTGAGGGCGGAATTGTCATGCTTACCAACTAAACTTGCCACCCCTTGCATATATAAATTGCCACAAAAAACGTTCGATCTGCCATGGGCAAATCCGGGACGTATCGGCGTCCTTTCTTTGAGATGAGCTGAAGTTCTCACTGATTTACTTGACCATTCTACAGTCCAACGAAACTGAGGAGCCCACCGGCAAGCTCAGCAACAAGTTCTGGCAGGAGGTCGGCGCTATCGAATGCATGCAGTCGCACATGAAGCTGATGGTCTTCTACGGCTTCCGAGGGGAGCGGGGCGAGCTTTCCTTCCTCAAGTTCGTCCTGGAGAGCGCACGGATCCTGACGAAGCTGGTGATCGTGTTCACCAAGGGGAGCTTCAGCTCAATGGCAGAGGCCAGCTCCAAGGTGAAACCTCTTTGCTGCAAAATGGGCTAATAAAGACTGCTCACTGGTGCTCTTGGAGAGTGTGTTTCAAGCAGGGGAAGACAAGTGGCTGCTCAGCTTCAAAGCAGGGTCTGATTTCTCTACAGGGGACCCATTCACGCGCACCGCTGCTCTTCGTGGCTGCAACTTCTAAGGAGAAGCCGGGTGTTTGCGGAAGATTGAAAAGAGGTTTTGAGTTCTCTACCAGGTGAGCATGATTCAAGGGAAACAGATGGTTAGTACTATTTTGCAGTCTACGTGCAAGGCACTGTTTTAATTTGCTTGTGTGTTTTTTTGGTCAGAGTTGCTGGTTTTTATTTGCCTGGCGACCTTGAGATGCTGATGCATAAGACAAGTGTTGCTCAAATGCAGTCTTTGTATGGTCTGTTTATTTTGCTTTGGCCTGACGTTGGTCATGTTAGAACTCACTATTTCTGCTGGTTGTGTCGCTGAATGCTAGCAGACAGAGATATATTCGTGAGCTATTTCATGCTTTACTAATTTCCTTCGGCATATTCCATCGAATGTGTGTTCCGTCTGATGTACCCTGGTTGATTGTACCCGTCTGGAATGTTAAATTACCATTGGAACTCGGCTGTCTTATGTAGTACTCACTCTTATATTTCTTTACGGAGGGAGTAGTATTTGTCTATGCTGTTATGTGTTATGTGCACTAGGTATCATTTGCATCATACATGCTCTGTTCACATAACTAGGGATTCAGATCTGAGTCGTGGATCGGAAACGATTTGTATTAGAATTGCCATCTATGGTAACATCTGAAGGACCAAGCCAACATATCAGTGTACCCAAGTAAGTCTAAACTTGATGGGTGTCGCCAACCCCGAGATATGCAATGGTTATTGGATTTGAGTACTAGGTAACAAGTGAAAAATAAGCTCATTAGAACAAATCTTGCTGCAATTGAGAGCAAGATGGCTCTACTACACCGATGAAGTAGAAATCATAAAAGTAAGAAATCTGAGGGTTAACACGATAGAACAACATCTGATATATTATGGAGAACAAGGCTGATATTACGAAGAACAATGCCTTTACGCCGTGTTAGCCTGCCATGTGAGCCACTGGGACTACGAAACAGCAAACCCTTCTTCTTTTCTGTGGTGGTCACTATATTGGTAGTATATATGATGATCAGCATTGCTGCTACTGTGCAAAGGGATCGTCAGTTGTGTGCTTCGACGGGGATCTTTGCGGGGTTGGGTCTTGATGCCGCAGAGACCTTACAGGCGATGCTGGTGCTTCGGCTCACCATATTGCTGCCCTTCAAAGAACTCGTTCAAGAGTTTGTCCACCAGTTCAGGGCTGTACCTGATGTACTTCAGCGGATTCTTGCCGCTCCCAACAAGATTGCTGCATGGCAAAATTGGTAGCACAGTAGTTATTATTAAGTACTACCTCCGTCCCAAATTATAAGACGTTTTTTTAGGCTATTTTAGCCTACCAAAACATCTTATAATTTGGGACAGAGGAAGTATATCAGAACAGCTGAGATCATTCTAAGTTGAATGGAGTCCTGGAGAAGATAAGGAAGTGTTGTTCTCAAAAGTATAAAGTTTTGGGGCCCACCCCGTCAGTCAACCATAAATGATGGGTGCTTTAGAGGACAGACAAAATAGAGCTAATTTTGTAATTCTGGAACTGCAATCATGTGATATAGCTGACTAATCAATTCAATGGAAGCTAATGGGTGGAGTTCAGCGCAACAACCAAAAATCAATAGGAGATCATGCAAAGTGATTGGTGCAGTGACGTACCCAAAACGTTTTATGAAAGAACGATAGGCTGGTAACAGAACCTCAGCTATAGCAAGCCTCAAGGATTCACGCAATTCTTGATCAGGTACAATCCATAGAGATTGCTTCGCATGAAGTTCTTCAAATTGCGTATTGAAAGCTTTAAACCTGCCATGGCAAAAGCTGTCTTAGGGCTAATGATTCTTCTATCATGATTATCCCAAGCAACAAACCAAACTGCCAAGGTACTGACCGTTCTTTGATCACAGCTCTTGAAACTCCGCTGCTGTTAAGGTCTGCTGGTGTCGACGAACCAGTGCTGCCTGGCGCACCTTGTACGGAAAGTGCCTGAAGAACCTGAAAGAAATAAAATAGAGGCAGTATTCAACTGTTAACTGATATGCCCAATCATGTAAATACAGCACGACAATGATGTTAATTACTGAAGCACAGGACATGGAAGAGAACATTGCCAAACAAAGATAGATACTAGCAACCATAGTAAAGCCATGGACAGGGGTGTGTGGAAGCTAGCTATCCATGTGCCAGAACCATGAGTTGTGACTAAAGGCTTTGTTGTTGTTGTTGTTGTATGACGACGTGTGTACTAGAGTTACAAAAGGAATCCACAGACATTGACTCTTACTATGGTTTGGCTTCACAAAAATTCCTATTGGGATGTAAGCAACTGAACTTGACACCAAAATGCAGGCAGGTGGAGCACAACGTTGATGTGTCTATATTTTCAGGCCGATTCCAGCGCACCGGGCTGTGGTGACTGGTGAGAAAGTTATGGGGGCAGGGTTGGGAGAATAGAGAGGATATAGAGCAGAAAACTGGAGAGAGTCATACATACTCAATTTAATACTCCCGCCATCCCATAATGTAAGACATTTTTTGACACTACACTACTACACTAGTGTCAAAAAACGTCTTACATTATGGGACGGAGTAGTAGAAGATATAAGGTCCCTTATCCTTTCCTAATATGACAACACTTCCTAATGTGCCATAACTCCTAATTCTCCCTCAATTGTAATGCTAGTTCTGGCCAGACTCTTTTCCTAGCTGAATTCCTCCTCGACGGTATTATCTTGGATGCCAGATTTTGGAAGTCAATGCCGACGTTGACATAGTTGTTATGGTGTCCACAACAGTTATACTCTCATAAGTGCCAACAAACTATGATATCTTAAACAGGTAACTCTCCATATTGCTTTCACATAAACTACCATGCTAATCGCAAAGGAATTACTAACAGCAAAGAGTTAAAAAGACTATCGTGGTAAGGAAAAGATATCCATACATGTAACATCATGCAGCCAAAAAGAAAGGGGATATGATGAGGGTTCGATGATCCACTAACCTTTGCCCAAGCAACACGTTTGTACTGATTGGCATTTTGCTGCACAATTCTACGGTGCCTCTGAATCCAGTCATCGCCAAGTATATCCTTTGCTTCTGATCTGTGGCCACACAAGAGATCACTAAGTGAGCAGATTGCCAGATTATTCTAGGATGCATTATCTATAGTAAAAAAAAAACAAGCATACCTGCGAACAGATCTAACCATATAGTGAACATTGTTCATAAGAAATAAGTGAGTTAGCGCAGGATCCTTATATTGTTTAGATTTTCCATCTAGGTTATTCTGTAGTGCTTGCATTATCCTCGTAGTAACAACAGCAAGCTGAGATTCTGTCTCACTACCAGTTTCAAATTCCTGAAACAGAAGCTTCAGTGTCGACTGATAACTGCTCATATGAAAGTAACATTTGTTAGCGTGCTATTTGAATAACAGTAGCAGGAAGGCTACCAATAAATTAGTTTTTTCTTAGTTGTCAAATGAATAAACTAATACAAAACAACTAAATGGAAGCCAAAGACAGTAGAAAGTGAATATGCAAACTATTTTCTTCTTCACAACTCTGTATAGTTATTGACAGACTGCCTGCTACGATATTGGCAATGAAAATCGTTTCTAAGACCACTAGCGACAGGCTTTATGCATACTTTCTCTTCAGTGGAGATGAAGTTCAGAATAATTCTTGAAGGATATAAACATATTGCCCCAGAGTTAACTCATCATGGTCAGCATATCTTACTCAGATTTCGCCAAATTACTGGTCTACAGATGCATAAATTGACTACTAGATGAAGAGGGGAATACTTACTCAAACAGGAATTTAACATAATTAATCACATAGCTTGTCAGAGGATGCACAGTTCCATCTTGAACGATAGTCTTTGAAGCATCCTTTTCAACCGCCTCCTCAAAATCAGCGAAGGTTTCTTGAGCAGTTTGTGCCAAGCGCTTAGTCAAGCCCAATGCAGTCTCTCTCATCTCAGAGCAAGCCTTTCCCTCGAAAACCACCTCAATCTGATAACAAGTTCAAACAAAGACGGCGCTGAAATTTGGTAGTGCTCACCAAAAGCATCATAGAATAAGTTGAAAAGAAAACAACAATGACATGGAACCCCATAAATAAATCTGCAAGCAGAAGAAATTAAGCATTTGTGAAGGAAGGTACAGTAAATTACTCCCCGAATACCTCCGATTGAAGTTCACGCATTACTTCGTACATGTCTAGCAATACAAACAGCTTTTCAGGAGACCTTTTGCTTTTCGCAACAGCATCTCCAAAGCTGAGAAGAGTCACGACACTATTTGTTGCCATTTCTGCAAAACATTGGTCCCTGTTAAAGTTGGCACCCTCAAAAATCTGATCGCAGATTTTTCTTTCTCCAGCTAGTAGTAGTTTAACCTGTTCAAAAAGCATAATATATTAGGATGATTTCTTGTTTAAGTCCAAACTAGCACACACAATATTGGCCTGTTCACAGAAGGGCCCTCACCGCAATACGCATAAACTGTATCCAGTTTCCAATCTTAGCCTCCAAAGCCTCCCATTGCATCTTTTGCACGTCATCTTTAGTAAGTTTTTCTACTCCCAGCTTCCGAAGGCTCGACTCTAGTGCTGCACCACGGGATTCTCTGAAGAAAGAGGATAAATTTAACTTGACTTTGCACAAGGTGTTAGTAACTCAGGAGTCAGGAGACACTGGACGGAAATCAAGAAAGGAAGTAGAAAAAGGAAATAGATTTGGATACCATAATCCAAACCTACCTGTAAATTTTGTAGCATGACTGTTGATTTCCAGCCTGAACCAACTGCTGAGCTATGTCATTCATGAGTGGCAGTATTCTTGGAGGAACTAGTGTCGGGGTCTTGTATACAGCAGTTTCCAAGCCTTTGGATGGATGGTCAGACTGGTTAGCATTCTCATCCTCATCGTCTTTTGATGGCCGCAGAGACTTGGGTAGACAATCAAAGAGACGATCGGGCTCAATTGGTTTGCTGAAAGAACAGATAAACCATCGTAGACAGTATTTTTTTACTGACATAAGAAATGAACATGAATGTAGTTCTGGCATGAGTCTGCAATAAGAATGACTATCTTACCTGTACGTAGTCATCAGCTGCTTAAATTCTTCTTCGATCTTCAGAGAAGACTTCGCTAACAGACCGTTGACGTGATTCAGAATTCCTTCACTGCTTCTGAAGTTCTTATTCGAGGAAAAGAAGCGGGAGATTCCTTTCAGCGTATCCACTGCCTCCAAGTAGCTCTCCAAATCCTCATGGGGACCTCTTAATATCGTTGCCTCGGCCTAAAGTTTGAAAGCAATGTTTACACAAAGTTAGTAAGTTCCCAAAAATCAAAGCCTTTTGCAAACAATCATATTCGCAATGAGCTCAGATAGCTATCATTTCTATTCCCTCTCTTTCTGCGAGAAATCGCTGTCATTTTGACATAACAAGATGATCTAGAAATGACAACTCTTGATAAGAGATGAAACAATCATCTGCAGTGACCCAAATTAATGACCTAAAAGTGCCAAACTATATCACTCACTGGATCTTCCAAATCCAAAGAACAAAAATGTAATACGAATGGTATTATCTTAATTAGGAATAAAAGAAAAACCATGTTTGTTTCAATGACGGCAGTGATGATTGAATTTAACATGGTAGTATACCCCACACAACGCATATTAAATACCGCAACAAATTTTAATCATTGCAACCACCAGCCTAACGCACATTTCAATTCCCGAAAGATCCATAAGACGTCTTCCAACAAAAAAGATTGTAACAAATTGACCACCAGACATCCAGGTAAAATGTTTGAAATTTTTTGCGGTGGGTCGATGTTCATGTACCCGACGGGTGAGGTCGAATTGGGAGAGGATGGCTTCGCCGGCCTTGAGCGTCTTGTCGATGTTCTCGTGCGCCATCCGGATCGCATGCGTCCTCACCTGCATTTCACCGGGGAGAAAAGCGAACCACGTCAGTCGAGCGGAGGCGAAATCGAATCAAACGGGGATGACTGGAATGTGAATGAGGAGGGGACGCGCAGGGGGACCTGGGTGGGGCGCATGGCGGCCTCGAGCGCGGAGAGGCGGTGGTCGAAGGAGCCGAGGATGGCGACCATGCCGTCCGTGTTCCCCTGGCTCTTGTGCAGCGAGTCGCGCAGCATGGTCGCCCGCCGTGTCAGCGCGTCCATCGTCCGAGGAAGCGCCGACACCGCCATCTTCCCTCCCCGAAGCCTCCTCCTCCTCGCGGATCACGCGGCGCGTCCGTCCGCGCTCCGAGGCCGGCCGGCCTGGGAGATCTCGAGCGGGAGACGGCAAATGCGTGCGCTTCGAGAAGGGGGTCCCCCGAGCGCGCGCCGTCGCCGGGAGAGATCCTTCTGGAAGCCTCTAGAAGGGCCGCGGAGGCTTTGCGGTTGGCGGGAACGGTGGAGAGGCGCGATTCGGTGGGTGGGGTCGTCGGCGACGACGTGGTTGTGTCGCCGCGGGGAGGAGGAGAAGAATGGTTCGAATGTCTGCCTCCGCTCCGAGATTCGGGCGCGTGTTGACCTGGACCACGCGGACGGCGGGGATGGGCTCGGTGCACGGGGTGGGTCCAGGGAGTGGTGGTTAGCGGGCGCCGGTCGTTCGGGAGCGCCGAGAGCCGTGGCGGTGTGGACCGGGTCCAGTCCACGGCGCGCGCTCCTTATCCCGTGCTGGATTTCATCGTTGGCTGGCCGCTACGGTAGCATTCCAAAATGGAACCTCGTGATTTGAATATTATCATTTTGCAGCAGGCTGCTCTCGAGGGCACTTTTTTTCTCTGGAACCCGATGACAATGAGTACCAGCCTTTGTTTGTTTGCAGACTTGGAACGTGAAGACAGTTCAGGAGCTTCAAATGGCGACGCTTGAAACTTCCGTTTTTGATACCTCCATTCCTAAGGGAGCATTCGGTTTCTCTTCACTCCTCTAACTCCGCTCTCGGAGCAGACCAGACTTCAGCTCACCTTGATAGAGCTGTCAAAATCGAGCTTCACCAACTTCGTGGAGTGGAGAGATTTTGAACAGGTCCTAAATATAAATCTTTGTAGAGATTTTAATATGAACTATATATGAAGCAAAATCAGTAAATCTACACTTTAAAATATGTCTATATACATCCGTACGTAGGTCATATTAAAATCTCTAGAAAGACTTATATTTAGAAACGGAGTGTGTGATGGTGCTATGGGGTATTTCACCTCTTTGGTTATCAGCCCAAGTAGGCCGGCCCCAAGTCCCCTAGGCTGATTTTGCCTGGTCCATCATGCCGGTCCATGGGCTCCATAGAAAGAAGATTTGAGAAGTCTTGTTGTTAAAGACAAGGAAAACGGATCTCTAGAGGGCTCCTCCATCTGTGAAGTCGACTGAGATTCTGTAAACACTAGGGCCCTGGTATCCTTTATAAACCGAGGCCGAGCTAGTCGATACACCTGACATTTAGTTAGAATCCCTCGATTGTCACATGTACTTGGTACGCCTTTATACATCAATACAACATGACCAGGAGTATGGTTTTTCCTTGTAAGGAGGGTCTGAACCTGGTTATCTCCCTCTCATATGTGAGCAATTCCTCGTAGGCATGGGAGATGTATGGGATTGATGAGATTCACTTTGTGCCTATTCTATATGTCGTTTTTTTGTGATAATAGAGTTATACTGAAATCGTCTCACACCAGAGTTAATAAATTATGCTCAACCATGCTACTATAATCAAGATATTTAATAAGTAAAAGCTTCTCCTCCTCCTCGTCATGTCTAGTAGGAATCTGAAAATGTCTAGAGAGGCGGGAGCATAAATATCACCATAAAATAACGCCCTTCGAACGGTTAGTGTGTAACCATAGAGTAACAATAGCCCTCAAACTGAAAGTTCTATCACGATAAAGGGCATGGCGTAATATAGCATGATCAGGTGAACTAAGTGTTTCACTCTCCCACCTACCAGTTAAACACCTCCCCGCAAATAATGAGTAGTAACACAAAACGGGGAAATATAAACTAGCTATTCTAGCATCAGAAACTCCTCTCGTCTCTATAGATATAAAATCCACAACATCCATAAGACGTGGCTCTAGAGGGTCGCCCTCATTAGGAATTTTGCATACGTGGCAAAATCTATCAAGTGTCATTTCTTGGGGGATGTCATAGAGGTGGAATGATTGGGTGGGTGTCGGTGTCAAAACCGGCGGATCTTGGGTAGGGGGTCCCGAACTGTGCGTCTAGGCCGGATGGTAACAGGAGGCAAGGGACACGAAGTTTTACCCAGGTCCGGGCCCTCTTGATGGAGGTAAAACCCTACGTCCTGCTTGATTAATATTGATGATATGGGTAGTACAAGAGTAGATCTACCACGAGATCGGAGTGGCTAAACCCTAGAAGCTAGCCTATGGTATGATTGTTGTTCTGTATGTTGTCCTACGGACTAAAACCCTCCGGTTTATATAGACACCAGAGAGGGTTAGGGTTACACAAAGTCGGTTACAATGGTAGGAGATCTACATATCCGTATCGCCAAGCTTGCCTTCCACGCCAAGAAAAGTCCCTTCCGGACACGGGACGAAGTCTTCAATCTTGTATCTTCATAGTCCAGGAGTCCGGCTGAAGGCATAGTCCGGCCATCGGACACCCCCTAATCCAGGACTCCCTCAGCAGCCCCTGAACCAGGCTTCAATGACGACGAGTCCGGCGCGCAGATTGTCTTCGGCATTGCAAGACGGGTTCCTCCTCCAAGTACTTCATAGAAGATTTTGAACACAAAGACAGTGTCTGGCTCTGCAACATAAGTTTCCACATATTGCCATAGAGAGAATAATATTTACACAAATCTAATCTGCTGACGTATTCCGTAGTGTGACGCACCACGGCCAAGCCTTTATTCGAATCGCTTTATTATCCCACCTCAGCGCGTCATGCGTGGCGGTTTCCTTGGCACGTCTTGTTAAAGCAGAGATCATGTCCCCTTATTCCGGGATTCTCATCAATATGGGCGTGGGTAACCCAACCGCGCCATTGATTACGGCGCTTGGAGATAAGCGAGTTTTACCAGGCTGGTGGGACACGTAGTTACGTCCACCCATATAAGGGGATAATGATCCACCTTTTCACCTACGCCTTCTTCCTCCTTTGCCTATCCATTTTCGTGCACTCGAGCTCCAGCGCCCAAGTCCGCACTCCCCACCTCAACCTTCTCCAGCCATGTCCGGAGCGGGAGGCAAGTGGATGGTCTCCTCCGTCACGGAGGGACACATCAAAAAACTGAGGAAGGCTGGATACTTGTCTAACGATATCGCGTACCGGCTTCTCGAAGAGGGGCAGCTCCTCCCCACCCCAATGCCCCATGAGAGGGTAGTGTTCCTTCCCCACTTCCTCCGCGGACTGGGCTTTCCTATCCACCCATTTGTCCGGGGACTCATGTTCTACTACGGCCTGGATTTCCATGATCTGGCCCCGAATTTCATCCTCAACATCTCGGCGTTTATCGTCGTGTGCGAGGCTTTCCTCTGCATCCGCCCCCATTTCGGCCTATGGCTCAAGACTTTCAATGTCAAGCCGAAGGTGGTGCGCGGCAACCAGGCGGAGTGCGGAGGCGCCATGGTGGGAAAGATGCCCAACGTCTTATGGCTCGAGGGCTCCTTTGTGGAGACCCTGAAGGGGTGGCAATCGGGGTGGTTTTACATCACCGAGCCGCGCGACCCTGAGTGGGTCGCAGCCCCCGAGTTCCGGTCCGGACCCCCAACGTGACTCACGTCCTGGAAAGAGACGGGCCTGTCGTTGGGCAGCAAAGGAGAGGTGACTGGACTGCAAACATGCATCCAAACCCTGCTGGACAAGCAGCTCAAGCTTGTCAACGTAGTCCAGGTCATGCTCATCCGCCGGATCCTCCCGTGTCAACAACGGGCCTTCAATCTATGGGAGTTCAACCCGGTGCAGCACCGAACTCTGAGCAGGCTCTTCGACACGACGTACGAAGATGTCTGGAAGGTGCTTTTCAAGGGCGCCGAGGCTCCCACATCCGCTACCGAGGATCACGGATTCAGCACGCAGCGTCACGCCAGCGCGGTAAGTTGTTTGTGCCTTTTACAGGGTATTAGTTTTTCATAGTTTAACTCTATGCGAGATCTAAGCTCCCTTACCTTTGACAGGTTTGGCAGGCGAAGTCCGTACAAATCGACTGTCCGGCTCCTTTGCCCGAAGACCCAGCCGATGCCCGCTTGGCGAAGTTGCTGGTTCCGGCACCCTATGTGGTGCCGGAGAAGAAGGCCACGAAGAAGGCCACGGGGACTCGAAAAAGTGCCCGGCGCCGGGAGGTGTCGGGTTCATCATCCGACGGCTCCAAGGCGCATTCCTCCCGTGAAGATGAGGAGGAGGAAGAAGAGACCTCACCCCCTCCAGCGGGGGGAGAGAAAAAGAGGAAGGCCGCCCTCACTGGGGAGGCCGAAGGGTCCAAGAAGGGGAAAACCCTTCCTCCGGACTACTCCATCGACGCTGACGACGACGGAGAGGAGTGGCCGCTCAGGGCCAAGCCCCTGGCGAAATCGTAAGTATCCGGATACCAGAGTAATTCATAGTATTCCTTTATTGCACAACTTTCCCTTATGTCGAATATGTTTATGCAGCCCACCTAAAGACCGGCTTGACGCGTCGTCGAGCGGTTCACTGGACTCGTCGGATGTGAATTCGCTTTCGACGGCTTCCTCCCCCCGCCCTACGGACGACGCCGAAGTGTTGTCCCAACAGGTTCCAAGCCAGGAGGAGGTGGTCCTGGAGGCGCCGCAAGGCGACCTCCCGGACTCCAGGAGTAAAGGGGATAAAACCCCCCAGGGCTCCAAGTCCGGCTCTAGGCCGGACACCGTTCCGGAACCTTCAAAGGTTCCAGAGTCCGGCGAGCGACCTCCTTCCAAGAGGAGCAAGCCCACCGTGCCGGTGACCCCCGTCCAACCAGAGGCGTCGAACAATCTGTTGGAGGTGCTCAAAGGCGCCTCCATCGACGAGGAGCACCGCACCATTATGAGTGCGGTGGTCCAGAAGGTTCAGTCCGCCAAGAGCGGTCTGACTGAAGCTTGTACTAGCCTTTTAACAGGCTTTGAGGTAAGTAAAGAATGTGTAAATAATATTACCGCATAGACAGTAGCCCCTGATGCTCTGTTTGGCGTTCGGGAAGAAAAGCCGAA